CCCGGCTGCCCCCGAACCAGCGAATGACTTCGGCCCGCGGCAGGCCCGTCTGGGAAACGATGGCGTCGTACTCCTGGTTCGTGGGCCGCTGGGTCTGCACGAACATTTGCTTCAGCAGATGCCGCTGCTGGGCTGTTTTTTTAAAGTTCAGTTTGGTTTTTGGAGGGGTGGGCGGCCGGCTGGAGCTGCCATCCACTTTCTCGTTTGCACTGGCCCCCGGTAACTCGCTTTTGCCATTGGACTCGGTCACTCGGAGGTTTTTCAGGTTGATTTTGATGGGACTCACTTTCCGCTCCACCGAGTTCGGGTTGTTGCTGGAGACGTCGACTGAGCCATTTTCGCTCGCGGCCCTCAGCTCATCCGAGGAGTCTTCCCCTTCCATGCCGCCATTTTCCGTCTCCTCCTCCTCCTGCCGAGCCGCCTCCTCTACTTTCTTATTCTCCTCCGCCACCTTCTTCTTCCTCCTCTCTGAGAACCAGCTATCAATCTCCCTCCGCGTCATCTTCGTTTCCCCCCTCAGGCGGTTCACCTCTTCCTCCGCAGGACGGTCACTCGGAGGTTTTTCAGGTTGATTTTGATGGGACTCACTTTCCGCTCCACCGAGTTCGGGTTGTTGCTGGAGACGTCGACTGAGCCATTTTCGCTCGCGGCCCTCAGCTCATCCGAGGAGTCTTCCCCTTCCATGCCGCCATTTTCCGTCTCCTCCTCCTCCTGCCGAGCCGCCTCCTCTACTTTCTACTTTCTTACCGCCACCTTCTTCTTCCTCCTCTCTGAGAACCAGCTATCAATCTCCCTCCGCGTCATCTTCGTTTCCCCCCTCAGGCGGTTCACCTCTTCCTCCGCAGGAAGGGGATTTTGGGCAAAACTGCTCTCCAGGGCCTTCAGCTGCTCCGGCGCCCGCTCTTTGTACTTGGTCGGCGTGAAGTCAGGCGCCTGGTGCCATGACTGCCTCCGCGGTGGGTGGTGAGGGGCCGGTGTGGCCGCTGCCGCCGCGGGGCTCAGCTCGGCTCCTCTGGGCGAGATGTCGAAAGCTATTTCGGGCAGGGAATCGAGAGCGCTGTCTCCAGGGAAGACAGCCCGGCCGCCTCTCATGTTCCTGTAGTGGTACCTCCTATCACTGAACCATTTTCGAATCTCCTTGGTGGAAAGGCCCGTGATTTTTGTCAGCCGCTCGACTTCGGCCTGGCCAGGGAACTGGTTTCTGCAGAAGCTGCCTTTCAAGGCTGAGAGCTGCTCGTGGGACTTCTTGTTTTTGTACACATTGGGATCCAAGAAGGTCTGCGAGGAGATCGCCGGGCAGGCGGTGAGCAGCGACTGGCCGCTGTTGACCACCTTCACCCCCGACGCGTTGCTAGAGCTCACTGTGCTGTGCTGCGCCGCCGGCTGTGGCTTGGGGGCAGAAGTCACCGCCAAGGTGAAGGAAGAGCTGGTGCCCTTCAACCCGTTTGCCATGATGGGCTGCGTGACCAGCAGCCCCCCCGTCCCCTCCGGCTGCCCCACCACATGGCCCGGTAAAGTCGCCTGAATAAGATGGGGGACACTCCCGGGATTTGCAACCAGCGGCGTGTTCAAAACTGTAATGGTGGGTTGCGGCACAGACTGAATAACAGTGTTGAACATCTTCTTCCTGGCATCTTCGATCTCCTCCGGTGACCAGCTGATGCCCTGCTTCAACCTCTGGGCAGTGAACCAGATCTTCAGCTGCTCTTCTGGGTACTTCGTCACCACGGTCAAGTAGCAGAGCTCGGCTTTTGTGGGGTAGGGGAACTTGTGGAAAGAGTTTTTGAGGAAGCTGTTGGAGTCCATGGCGGCATTGTACGTCGGAATGCTGCTCAGGGGGATCATCACCTTGGGAAGGGATTTGGACGTAGGTAGTTGCTGATGCAACGGGGGTTGCTGCTGCTGTAGTGACACAAGTTGTGCAACACCCGCCTGCAGAACAGGCACGTTTCCTATGATGGAGCCATTCACTATATGAGATGATTTTGTCGAACTTGCGGTGGGCTGGCTGACCGGCACAGACCCGTTTGGGAATGAATGCTCTCCGTCTTTCACCTCTGACTCACTGCCCAGCTGACTCGACACATTCTCCTTCAGCGTGTGGATTTTTTTGGCCTCCGGTTTACCTTTCATTATCTTCATGATGGGGGTTTTGGTAATGATAATTTCAGACTGGCCGTCCACCCCTTCTTCAGAGACCTCTCCCGGCAGGTCATGGCTGCTGGCGGCCTCACAGAGACTTTGCTCCACAATTGTATGATTGTCCTGCTTAGCCACCCTCCAGATGAAGCTTGTTTCGCCGGCGTGCGACTCTGCATTGTGGTGCAAGAGCCCTTCATGGCTATTTGCCAGAAAGTTGCACGCAACACATGCAAACGCAGGGTCTTTGCTAAAGTCTAAGTGCTCTGAGTCCAAGTGCCCAAAGAAGTGATGAACGTCTTGAGATCCAAAGTCACAAGACTTGCAGATATAAGTGTCACTATCAGCAATACCACGGTGCCCATTAGACAAAGCTCCGTTATTATTGTTACTGGCACCACCATCACTAGCTGTTGGCCCTTCCACAGGAGCTTCTTGTTGCGTTCCTTCACGATCACCTTCTACAGCGTCCAGTTCAGTCTCCTGAAGCACCAGTGTTTTTACTGGTATCATGCAAGGAGTTGTGGATTTTCTTTTGCTAGCCATGACTACAATTGATCCAGATGATTATTTTTCCTTCACTTAAATGAAATTAAAATTTAAAAAGCGCTATTGCAAGTGCTCTGTGGTCTAGATTCCAGCAAATTCATGATGTCCAAAGGAGTTGTTGTCAAATGTTGACAAATGTTCATATTTGCCACTGAACCTGAGGACAAGGAGAGGGAGGAGGGGTTAGTTCCCTTGGCATTAGACAAAGCACAACTGTCCTGGTATTTAACTGTTTCACTCAATAAATCATTTTCAGCCTCTTTCGCTGGAAAAATTTAACTTGACCTTGGATTTACTGTATTTTCACACATACAACCTGTGAATTACCTGTTTAAAAACAAACACACAAACATGCCTCTTTTACAGCCTGCATCAAATTCTCAACTGAGGAGGAAAAGTGCCAAAATTTCCCCTCGCTCTGCCCTGCCAAGACCCATCACCAGTATTTCAGCAGGGAGAACCGTGCCTGGGCTCCCTGCGTGCCCAGGCTCCTGGCTCAGCAGCACACAGGAGGCGATAGCAGGCAGGGTCACCCTGGGAAAGCCGCCTGCTTTCCATCAGAAAAACCTGACGAAAAATCAACACGTTCCCCACAGAACGTTTCAATTTCTTCAAAATCGGCATTTTCAACCATCCTATCAGGAAGTTTCTCGCTGCTCAAAGCACCATGCCCGTGCCAAGGGCCTCTGCCTGCAGAGGCACCTGGAGCTCTGCTGCAGGGAGCAGGAAGGCTGCAGCCAGGTCCACGTATTTCAGCCCTCCTCGCTCAGCAAGCCTGCAAAGTATTTGCGAGATTCCCTCCCCATCCCGTGCACGCTTCGTTACTGTTTAAACAGCATCTCTTGAGTCTTTGTCTGGAGCTGCAAGAGAAAGTAAGGCCCCAAAACTCAAGGGCAGCATCATACACTTGCTGCCTCCCCCTCCCACCACCTTTGCAGCTCTTGGCATTCACACAACTCAGTGACTCAGTGCGCTGGGGGTATTTCCGAAGAAAGAGTCATTTCTCTGCAACACAAGCCCATTTTGCTGGGCTTGGGGTGACCAGAGATCTGTCACATTTAAAAAAAAAAAAAAAAAGAGGAATAATTTTTTCTCTTCTTTATTTTTTCTGAAGCTAAAGCAGTTCCCGAACTGCTCCAGCCTGTGGAAGGCCAGAGCATTAGCCACAACCTTATTCCTGGCCTGATGTAGCTTTGCCATCTGCACAGCGGATGCTCGGAGCCCCAGATCACGACCCGAGGGCAGTAAAGCTGTCTGCTGTAGCCTGGTGACGGTCGCAAGGACAGGGAAGGCAGCACATCTGAGGGAGCAACATCTCTGCCTTAACCCCTCTGTCAACCTTTTATACAGCAACTCTGTTTTTTTTCTTTTAAACTCAGGGATAAAATGGTATTTTTCCAGATTGCAAGGTCACTTGGAAGCATATGGACGCACTGGTTCATATTACAAAGACTCGGTGCCAGATTTTCCTGGGATTTGCACTAACGGCAACTGAGCTTTATAAAAACACTCATAAAAACTTGAACTTAAATTAAAAAAAAAAAAAGACCAACTTACCATCCTATCAGATGACTCACAGAGGTAACTCCTATCCATTACAGCAGTTGTGCACCAGTAGCTTTCTCATATCAGATATTCTGAGCTGATCTCATGCACTGAGAAATGCAGATCGGGCAAATGACTTTGTGGTGCTTATGCAATACCTCCTCTGCTTATTTTTGTCGGTAGCTTTTAGAACAGAGGAATGAAAGGTCCTAATGCAAAAAAAAAAAAATCAAACGGAGGAAGTACAATTTGACCTCCCTAACTTCATTAGAAGTTTTTTTAAAAATTGTTCTGAAAGCTGACATCATTTTTTCCAAACAGGAGAGCCTAGATGGCCGACTCTGGCCTCAGCAACTCTCAGGCACCGTTTAAAAGACGGATGGGAAAACGTAACTTCCCGTTAATGTGGGCTGATCTGAGATTACAAAACAGTCCTGTAAACAGTGTTAGTCATCACTGAACTTGGCATCAGAAAAGACTGTTTGCTATGCTAAAGCTTCGTGAAAAGCTAGAAATTATAACTTTAAAAAAAAATCTATAAATAAAAAAGGTATTAAAGCTGTGATCTTGATTTAGACAGTGCGAACTGCATGTTCTCAATACCTGCTTTATGCCACTCTCTTCCCACCTTTTCGTGGTTAGTCTTTCCCTCTGCAGAGGGCCAGAAAGTTATGCATTAGTATTAGCAAGTCGAATACTTGGATGACTATGAATGGGCTTTGCTATTCAGAGGGGAACAGCATCCATTTGACACCAATCCCAAGATCCTAATTTTTGATGCTAAGTTAAATATTACACAATCTAGCAGGGTACAATGACCTTTCCAAGTCGAGTCAATTAGGAAAAAAACAATAAGACCAGCCTGAAGGCTACAAAATATAGCTTTAAAGGCTGAAAGGAGTTTCATGTCAGGGAAGCAACGGTAAAAGGGAATTCTTATTTAATTCTATTCTGCAGCTCTAACACAGGCCAGGGAGAAACCGCTGGGCCCTCTGCAAGCTTTTTCACTTCCAGCAAACTCCTGATAGAGATCCAGTTCCAGAGCCTCCATTACTGAGACAGCTCGAGGCCCAGGAGGATCTTACCTAATGTTTATGGAGTCGCCCGATATCAAAAAGATGATTTTTATCTGTCAACAGAGTAAATTTGATACAGAGCAACGGAGATACACAAAGACCCCCATTGTGCCATGTTAACGGAGTGCCTCTCCCGAGCACACCGCCACTATTCTTTCGGGTAAATGTGAATGGCCTGACCCACCTACAGAGAACCTAAAAGCTCTGCATTTCATTTACCAGCACATTTGCATCGAGCTCTGTGCTCTCTCCAACAACTTTCGTTAAAAATGCAATCAAAGCGGCCCCAGCCGCCACAGCTCTCCTGCTGGGGCTCCAATATTAATGCCACCTGAGAACACAGATTGCAAATTTAGCTGGAAGTGAATCACAGTGCCAATTTACTGGGAAAAAAAAAGTTAATCAAGTGTACTGTTTGTCCGTCTCATTTCCATGGAACAGTTGCATAACCACATGTTTGGAGCATGTTTTATTCACTGCTCACCTTCTGGAATGCACTAATACTTTAATACACAACTAATATATAACAGAATGGATAATTCACCAATTTCTCCATCATTAAAGTAAGCGCGGCTGTTTTAATGGAAAGGGTAAAGTAATGGCAGAAAAAATAATTAATTAGAAAACAGCCTTACAACGGAGCTCCGTATACCACCACTGCAAACGCCTCAGACCAAGCTGTACAGCCATGTATTATTTTATGATTAACTGGAGCAAAGAGACATTAGCTGAATGGAATAGCTGGCAGTCAGGAAGACAAAGGGATTGCACTTAAATTCATGGTTCCTATTTAATTTATACCTGCTAATTTAATAGTGAGGTAGCAGAGTAAGCAGGTCAAATGACCTGTGCACCTAAACTTGCCACCGTTGTTGGAAATTTGAGGGAAAACTGACTTAAAGCAGAGTCAAACCGATTCAGTCCCAGTGATGCTCCCAGAGAAACTAATGCTGGAAGGAAAGGCTGCCCAAAGGCTCCTTGGGCCACGCTCGATCCCAGCCCAGCACGTGGCTGGGGGTACGTTTCTCTCGTATCTAAAGCACCAGGAACTGACCCTGGGGCTGATGTGTGTTCGGACAGCGAGACAACTGTGCACACCCCGCTCCTGTGACAGGGCAGAGCAGCCCGGCCTTTGCACAAGGCAGGCACGAACCCAGGTGAAGGGCTTGGGTTGGGCTGTGGTTCCCCCTCCCTGACGTACGGCCGCGATTGCTTGTCTGCACAGCTCCCAACTTAAAACAGTTAAAAAAAAAAATCACCACGGGAAAGCTCTGCTCCACTGGTAGATGCAGTTTTACGCTGTTGTCACCATGTCATGGCTACAGAGACAGCCAGGTTGGTGGCCACCCATCAGTTTCTCAAGGGCTGCGGCTCAGAAGTGACAAGCCCCGTACTCGGAGCCAGTGGCGAGGACAGGGGAACTGCAGGCTCCTGCACTGCCCGGGTCTGCTCGGCTCTCCTCCGTGTAGGAGGCCCACAAAGGCCACATGCCAGCGACCCACCTCCAGCTTACAAACAAGCAGAAGGAGCACCACAAGAAGTGCTAGGCTACGATTTCAACTACCCCTAGCGATTCAGAAAATAATAATAGAGGAGGAAAATAGAAACTGTTAAATCTGGGGTCCCAATCTACGAAAACAGTGCAGCATTTCTGCTAGAGACAGCCCAAAACCTACAATGCTGCTATGAGCATTCCCCTCCTGCAACACCTCCCGTACCAGCCCTCCTTCCTCCCCAGCACAGGAGCCTCCCCGTCCCCACCAGCAGGTCCAGGTACACACTGCTAACCCTCTGCAGAGCAGCTTTGCCTCCGCTGAGGAGAACAATGCCGAGATCGGTCAAAGTGAGCTTAGCAATTTCAGAAAATTTACTTCTGCAGAGATTAACAAAGGGAGGTTTCGAAATCTGCACTGCTGAGTACGAACTTTCAGCTTTTTCCAGCTTGGCTGGATATAACTGGTTTGGTTTTAAATGTTTCAGTGAATTAATGAGTTTGGTTGTTAATGCAAAACATTCATTCCGCGCAGTGCCAAGGTCCCCAGTTAGAAGATTAATTTTTGTGACCTTTTGCAAACCTCGCCTAGAAACAACAACCAGAAAACCCACCAGGCAGCATCACCAGCCAGGCAGCGCACAGCCGGGCACAGCAGCTCTGGTCCCACCGCCCAGGCACGGGGACGATGGGACAGCCGCCCTTCTCTACCCCCAGCCCAGCCACCTCCTGAGTGCCCTACGCTCACACTGGGGACAAGGCTCCACCTGGACACGTAGGATGGCTACGTGCTCTACTGTGGGCTCTGGTATTTGATGCAGCTCTGCTGAAAAGTAAATGCTCAGTTAAAAAAAAAAAATCAACACCGAAATAGAAATAAAATAACAGTTTTCTCAACACTTTTGGTGCCTGCTAGGCAGGCAGACACACTCCCCAGGTCAGGGACAAAGTTGATGTTTCTGTCTCATAGGAAGCCAAGCACAATATTGGCACTTTAAATAATAGTGGTTTGATTTTAAGCTGAAACTCTGCAGGCCCCGGCTG